AATAAAACCAGCCATTGCCCGGTAGGAGTTCGGCATTATTTGGGCTGGCACTATATTATAATAATTTAAGAGGGAAACGAAGAAGGGGTGAAGGGGGAACCTAAGGCCGGCCTTAAGGGAATCAAAATGGACCACGACCATCCCTGGGAAGTGGCGCATTGGGTGGAGCCCCGATTGGAGGCGGAAGTCCACCGAATCAGGAAGTAACATCTGGATTTGGGCCCGGTTCTGGGCCGTGAGCTTTTGGCGCCTAAGCCTAATCAGGGCTAGGTCAAGCTTATGACAGGGAACGCCGCTTGGAGGACCAGCTTTCATAACTTCCAATTCGTCCCCCGATTTGGTGCCATCAGGGTAAACGTCGGAGGAGGAAGAGGAATCATCACCGTTAACTTCCGCCGGAATAGGGACAACTCGCAGCACATCGATGGGGTTTTCCTCTGGGATTGCGGTGCCGGAAGTAGAGGGTTCAGATGAACGAAGGGGTGCCATTCTCACCGAACGAGGGAACTAAACAGTAGAGGGAAGTTCGAAGGATACCTGAACAGAAGCAGCGGAAGAAGCTCTAGAGAGAAGGCAGAGTACTAAGCCGGAGATGCAAAGTTTCGAAACCCAGAATCAAAACCAGAGGAGCCTATTTATACTCTGCCACGCCGATTCAGCTGCCAATCAGAAGAGGACACATTTCTTGTAATGATGACAGAGACACGTGTCACACAGAGAATCCTTCTCAGGTAATCATGGCGTTTATCGGAGAAGTGAAACGGCAGTTGCAAATAACCGTCAAAATATGCCTCGGGAACCGGCGGAATGCCATCCGATATTCACCCGAACAGCATTCGGGCAATAATTTTCTACTTCCTTATGCACTCACTACCGTTCGAGACATAGGAAGTGGGGGACTAGTGTTGGGATATTGGGTCCAGGCCCAATATCCCTAGGCCCAAATCCAGGAAGAAACAGCGGGCCCAAGGCAGTCCAAAAGAACTCTCGAACGGCATTCGGGATAAAATTTATACTTGGAACATTCCGGGAAACAATTATGCCAAATCATCAAGGCCATGTATCGATCGGCGTTCGGGATATGTTCCTAAGCAGGATAACACCTATGACGGGGTCCCACACACCGAACACCCTGCCCGAACGGGCAATCATCAAGTGGAAGCCGCATTTAATGCTGGATCATGGCAGCAGCAAGTGGGGGCATGGGTGCTTACATGGCAGAGGTGATAGCCTACCAGATTCAACCACGTGTCCACCTTACCCATCCCCATTTTAGTATAAATATCCATGTTTAGATCATTGTAAAGGGTTAGCATTTTAAGACTCAGAGCTTAAGCAATAGATTTACATCTCCCATCCTTGTAATCCCATATTCATCTACCGTTCGGGTAGTTTCAGTGTAATTGCTTAATTACTGAATATAAGTAAGTTCTTGAGTTGGATATAATCTCACTGTTTTATATTTTATACACATTTTCAATCCTACCCCAGATCCCTACAATATCCAAGGCTTGTGTTGGGCTTTCGGATCTTCGGGAATAAACTTCAACATATACAATTACATCATACGTAGTGGATAATTATATGTAGTGGATAAATCCTACGCAAGTAATTTACATAACAAACTTATTTACAAAATCTAATTGATAACTATGAAAGAAGTCTGCATGTGCACGTTTCTGTATGAGCTGCGGCATTTGAGTATGTACACGTGTGAACCAATAATTATACAACTATCAACACATTCATCATAATAATTCACTAGTGATAGAAGTAATAAACATATAAACGCACAACATTCCAAAAAAGAAAAGCCTGTTTGGTAAAACCCAAATCGGCTATATTGACTGGTTTTGTTGAAATTTATGAAGTTCTGGCCGAAAAGACTGGATTGGCTTATTCTGTTGATTTTTGAAAAATTACATTTAAAGCCTGTATGGTGACTCTGTTTTTCGGCTTATCAGCCAACTTTTTCGTTAAACACGTAATTTTTGAATACACGCGCTGAATTCTGTAATAATAAGAAAAAGTAAGATTGGAGTTACCTTTCTGGATTTTTTGGTTGAAGTTACCGTAGAGGATCATTTTAGCTGTTTTTTTATATAATTTATTCTTTATTTTATAATAAAATATATTTTAAATATATATATTTTTTAAATCAGCAGAATCAAACAATACATCTTTCATTTGTTCAGTTTTCAGTACATACTTTTCACTTTCATTTGTTCAGTTTTCAGTACATACTTTTCACTAGTTCGTTATTCCTCATTTCGATTTTTGGATAGTGACTTGGTTTAGTGTCAATTCAATTGTACTAAAGTAGTGTTTGCTATTGCTTTAAATAAGTGCTTCTAAGCTTTTAGATTAAAAAAAGCTAAAAATTGTGTTTGCAAATCCCAACTTCTAATTAAAAAAAGTGCTTTAAAGTTAAAAGTTAGAAGCTGGAGTATACCAGCTTCTAACTGCTTCTAGGTATACTTGTAATTAACTGAAACTTTATGGATAATAATAATAGGAACAAAATCTCTGAACCCCCAAAATACCCTCAAATAAAGACGATCCATCTGTCTGGAGCTTTGACGTCGAGTGAATAGTCTGGAGCTTTGCCAAACTGATGCTAACGTCACAGCCCACCAGATGGTGTGATACCGGGCACCAGCATAGCTGAGTTCTATTGCCAACCTTCACCGTCAAATCCCAAGACTTTCGTCCTCAGTCTACGCCACTAGATTCGGGGATTCAGCCGCAGGCCTCAGGGCGCCATCTGCCTAAGGGAACTCCCGACCTGGAGATGGTGAAGAGAAAGACCCTGGTGAGTGGTGACGATGCTCCAACTGTGCCAGAGAGCTCTTGAGCTCCTCAATTCATCCGGATGTACTAAGGAAGAAGATGAAGATGTGGGAGATGTTAGGAAGGGATATTTTTGTACTTTTGAGAAAAATATTACATCACAATCACTTTTTTATCAAACACTTCAACTTTTACATTTTAACTAAAATCACTTTTATTCACAAACACTACCTACTTTTACTATAAATCACTTTTCCAATAATCTCTTAAAAAAATCACTTTTAAAAAGCACAAGCAATCGCAAACACTCCCTAAATATTTGACTTTTTAAATAACTGGATAATCAGACTGGGCTATTAACCTTTATACCCCTGGAATAATTGCTTGGATTCTTTAGAAGGGGCTAGTATGATGTATGCTGTATGCTGCTATTACCCTGCTTTCAAGATCATTCAACTCATTAAACATGACAATATGACATGTTCAATTGGAGTTATGTTCTTAAGCATTCTAACCTGGCTAAATTTAGCGTTAGCTATTTTCAACGGGGTCATAAACCTATCATGCTAACCTGGAATAACATATGCGCGGATTGCAGCTTAATATTCATGATTCCAATTTGAGGAACTCTCATGGTAGTCTTGTTTTTTGTGTTCACTATTCTATAGACTATAGCTGACCTATCCCTTCTTTTACCCAAACTACACAGCATTCTCTGGTCCATAGTAGCAGGATATACTACCTTATAAGTTGACACAGATTCCCTCCCAGCGTCACTCCATCTTACCGAGCCTCATAAATCTCTCGAGGGATGAAGAGGGTAGACAAACAACGAAGGAGCCAATTGGAGTGATGAGAGGATGGGAAACAAAGGGGAGTGGTGACTGAAACATTTTGATTGTTGTCTAGGGATCACTTTACAATTTTTCATTTGTAATGAAACTTATTTGTTCTTTGGTCTCTCATATATTATTATTATTGAAGCTTCTAATGGCATGTAAGGTTAGACGTTATTATTATTTGGTTGTACATTGATGAAAAATATTCCGATGTGTACTATAATGTGTTCTATTTGTTGGAGAGAACCGAACATGACTAGCTACCCGGACTATCAGTTTCTTCTATGCCTTTTGTTTTTGGGAAAAATGTCAAATAGGTCCTCGAACTTTCATAAAAAAGTCAATTAAGTCCTTCTATAGGAGACTCTGTCCGGTCGTCGCGATTTGGGGCGGTTCCCGGTGGAATTTTTTGATGAAATTTTTAGAGCATCTTATTCATCAAGTCTAGTTTACTCATACCAAATTTTAGCTAAAAATTCAATCGGGAGCGCATTCAAATTAATTCGAGAACGCAAAAATGCTCAGTTATCTACAAGAATTAATTTGAATGTGTTCCCGATTGAATTTTTAGCTGAAATTTGGTATGAGTAAACTAGACTTGGTGAATAAGATGCTCAAAAAATTTCATCAAAAAACTCCACCGGGAACTGCCCCAAATCGCGATGGCCAGACAGAACCTCCTATAGAAGGACTTAATTGACCTTTTTATGAAAGTTCGAGGACCTATTTGACAGTTTTCCCTTTGTTTTTCATTCTGGAAGTTCGGCAAATTTTTATACATATGTATCTTCAAAGTTGAAATCAGATCCTCTATGAGGGGCTTGAGGGCATGTTTGCATTTCCAAGTACTCTTGGGGAGTCATGGTTTCCTTGGAAGTTATGCACCCTTATCTGACATTGAATTGTGCTGCATTTGACTGGTTTTATTTTTATGTGCAGAACTTGGTCTCAAAGGGGTGCACCTCTTAAAACTTTTTTGTGATCTCTCTGTTGTTAGTTGTTGATTCTTCAATGGTGATAAATTAATTTTCATTTTTTCATTTTGAAAATGATATTCCTTTTTAGCTTCCTGATGTCGATCTTGTTCACCTTGTGCATTTGGAACAACTTTCATGTAGCAGATACGGTATCGAGGAAACCTCATCCCCAACCAATCACAAAATCAAAAAAAGACTAAAAGGGTGAAATAAGGGACAAGTTATTCTTCTGTTTATGAAAAATCTTCAAGCTATCATTCTCATAGGTTGAAATAACTTCCAGCCTTTTTAATGGTTAGAGTTTGTTTTCCTTGGTTCTAATTAATTAGAGTCATGCGCTGGTATAAAAGTTCAACACCTATATTGGGTATCTTAGCACCTTTTAGTACTTTAACTAACAGTAAAACCTTGAATAACTGGACTTTGATTTGCTTGAAAGTTGAAGACTACAAAAACAATTAAGATGAGACAAGCTGCCAAAAGCATCAAAAGCCCACACTTTTTATTAATCGGTGAATGTAAAAGCTCAGAACAGAAGGATAGAAACATTTCCAACCAAGTAAAGGCATGAAATGGTCAGCAACTACACGCCAAGTGTTGTCCACTGATGCTTGGGTGTGCACTGCTTTTACCTCGCCAAGCACGTCATTTTAGAAAGAAATGGGGACTATCCCTGTAGCAGCAGTTGCGTTCTGAGCAGCCTCATCAGCTAAATGCAAAACATTATTCTTCATAACCTCCTTCTTGATTCCCTCTGCATCCATCACAGAACCAAACACTTCAAATTGCAGCCTACTTGCAACATTGATCACCTTTGTAAAATTCTCAGGAAGATGAAGCCCATATGACATTAAGTACCCAATCTTAGCTGTTTCAGCATAGCGAGACTTGGCATAGGCGATATTAAAATATTTATCTTGCACTTGATATAGCTCCTTAGCTGTTTTAGTCACAAGGCTAGGCGTTATGGTCTTTGAAAAATCAATCATGTAAGCGATAGTGGCAAACATGAAAACAGTTGAGATTGTCTTGTGAACACACTTGGGAATCAAAGAAGCAAATGCAAAATGTTGCATAGCAGAAGGGAGTTCTTGCACGTTCAGAGAAGATTGATTCACTTTCCTGGTTATGCCAGGTGACTTGTGTAGCAACATGCTAGCAAGATTAGGAAATAATGAAATTGTTCTTGCAAAAGTTAACCCACGACCATCAATCCTAGAATTTGCATTTGCAGCTCTGATGCGAATCTTATACCTTGCTGAAAGTTCCTTAATTCTTCCTTCTGTAGCTCTAATGTTTCCATTAGTCAAACCAATCACAATCATATAAACTAAATCTTCACAAAACTGAGCCTTTGATCTTTTAGCAGCAGCAGCATTACGTATGATACCATCAATGAGAGCTTTTGCATCAAAACCATTAGAATCAAACTTAGTCACACTTAGAGGACCAAGAGTTTCATTCAGAGTTGTGATGGAATCGATGCTCGTGAATGCATTCCAGAAAGAATCAAAACTTTCAAAGCATTTGTCATCCATTTCTGCACTAGAACTTTGTTGCGTTTCTTTGAACGAATCTGTGCTTCTTTCTTTCTTGTTGGAGGTAGTTCACTAAAAGTATCAAAACTTGATTTCTTAGAAGATGATCTAGTAAAGACCATAAAACATAAAAGAAATACACAAGCCTTGTCGATTTGTGAGTAAAGCTTAATGCAAAGAAAGTTTAAAAAGATTTCTGTGTCCAGTTTTTAATATTGAAAAGATTTAAATAGTTAAAAATTTACTTAACGCAATGAGTTGCATGTCACAAACGAACTTTCATAATGCACTATTTTCAGTTCTTCACAAGTAACAGTGTTTAGATCAAAATATTGTTTTTGAGCTTTAAAGCATTAAGTCTCACATACCCCGTTCCATGAGCCTGTATTACACAAGATTTTGTTAGAAGAGAACAATCATTACTTCTGACATTTGTGTGAAATTCACATTACTTAAATATTATTTGTGAACTAGTTTATGTCCAAGAGATGCTTCCATGATGTCAAAAAAATAAATTGAGAAGCATCTATAACAGTGTACAATCTATGATCACTTTTGAAAACGGGTAATGCTAAAGATTTTGCAAACCAAAGTAACTTTATTCTCATTATCGGTGTGAGTCAAACACACTCAGTTACCTCCCCTTCCTATCCATTTCAAGTGAAGTTCAATTTCCCTATTCAAGTTTTCAGGATCTTTGGGCCATGTTTCATGATCTCTGTATCAAGCTTTGAACATATTTCCATATCGTCCAGTATGAAGAGGGTGTAAAAGTATAGAATAACAAACCTAGCAACCTAAGTTTAGAAATCCAAGGGTCTAGCCCATGAAAGGGCTCATCATTTTTCACAATATGCAACATTTTGTATTTAGAAGTAAAAAATAATTGCAAGTAAATGTGATAAACTATATAACATTTTGTTATTCTAGAAAAATGAAATTAAGAGAAAAAACAATCCTTCATATTACACAAAATGGAAGTGTGAAATGAGGTAAGTTTGAAGGAGCCCATTGCTCCACCGGTTACCTCCCCTTCCTATCCACAGACTTCCAACACAAAAAAGGGACAAGGAAATAACTATAATCGCGAAATTAACAAAGATGAGGAAAAGCACGCATCATTTAGGAAATGTTAACACTCTAAACTGTTCAAAAATCAAGTAATAACTATCTATTAGAAAGCATTTCATAGATCAGGTTAGAACTTAGAAGCTCCAAAACCATCTTCAATAAGTTCTCGACTTTTGCAGTTTCCTATTTTCTTTATTTCTGTCAGCTAAATGATATATAGAGCACATTTCTACTCTCTTACAGTCTTACTTGTTGACCACAAGAGCTCGAGTGATTCTTAGCAGGCCCAGCCCTTACCTATTAGGGACCCTGTTCAAAATTAAATTGGGGACCCTAATATACAAAACGTACTTCGAAATATTTACTAACAATATATTGATATTGAAATATTTCTTCTTTTCTCTTTTTACATCCAAATTGATACGTAGTATTGTCTAATTCAAAAGTAAAATGGAGAAGATTACAAATAATACTCCGTGTAATATAATGACGTAGAGAAAAGATCACCGAAGCAACCTGAGAAATGAGAAGTCCCCCTATAATCTCGACTAGAAGCCTGGTGTAATTCAATGGCTCAAGCCCTGAAGTAAGAAATATATACTCCCTCCAGTTTTTAATAAACTTCACACTTTCCTTTTTGGGACGGTCTAAAATAAACTTCACACTTCCTTATTTCCTTTTTTGGCAAAGAAATCTACATCAAAACAGTGTCAAACAGTATCTAAACAGTGCCAAACAGTGTCTCTACAGTGCCAAACAGTGTCAAACAGTGCCTCAACAGTGTACTCTATAGTAAAGTCAAATTTATTTTCTTATTTTGTGTGAAGTCAAATGTGAAGATTAAATAAAATCGGAGGGAGTAATAAAATTTTCGTTCATGTAGTTGGATAAACTCGACTCCTCGATCCTCGGAACAAATTGAATCTTTATGAAACTCGGTCGGGTCAACTCGCACGGCCTCCTCGTTCCTAGAAAACAATCGTTTCGTATTCTGACTTCTCGTTTGCCGAAGGTTTGACACAGGTTCCGACTTCCGATCAAATTCTTAGGGTCGTTTACTTTTTTTTTCTTTAAGTCCTGTATGAATTAAGTTGTCTGTCTGTATTAAGACGTCTGTCTGGATTAAGTGATAATGAGATAACAAGCTGTTTACTTTCTATTCTGAATGAGCGAACTGAATTCTGTTAATCGACCACTTTACCCTTCTGCCTGGAAGAAGTGTTGAATCCCAAAAAATAATTATATTATGAACCTTTATTTAAAATTAGGAACCTTTAATTTTCTTTTCTAAAAATTAATTTCAATATTGCACCAGTTAGATAATATTGGAATTTCTGGAAATTCATAGCAGAGCACAAAATTTCGACAACTTCTAGAAAATTCACTTTGTACAAAAAAAATTCTATCCATCTTCCTGAAATTTATATCCATCTTCCTGAAATTTCTGAAATTTCTATCCATCTTTATATCCATCTTCCTGAAATTTCTGCAGAAATCCTAAAAATTATTGATGAACAGCTGTAATTTATACATTAATGTTTTGTAATAACGGACAAATATATTTACGGAGTATTTACGGAGTATCTTTTCATGGACAAATAGTATCATTACAAAATTTGGATGCTCTGTTATGAATGGGCGAAAATTTTAAGAAGCACGTAACGTGCTTGTTACCGAGCACGTATTCCACCTGGCACCAAATTCTAATGTCTCGATATATCAATGATCAATTTAGGATGTTTTCAGTTTCAGACCAGACTTAAATAGACCAGGCCAGACCAGACTTAAACAGACCAGACCAGACTTGGATAGTTATAAAATACACAGAGACCAGACGTTTACCAAACCAGACTAGACCAGCAAATTTCAGTCCAAAAGAAAACATCATTATCATGCAATCAGATTTTTAAATAATTTGCAATTCAACTCTCATAAAAAGAAAATTTGCGCATGTAACCTACATTCAATACCTCAGAGTACTATATATTCCAAAACCTATTTAAAAATTTTAGGAATTTTCAAAAGAAAAATTGGGAATAACAATAATTCCACTTTTCACCGATTTTCTTCGTATAATCTCACTTATAATATCAAAATAATTTCATCTTCTCACATCAATTTTTTTTGACTTTTTGTTGGTCTCTAGCCTTTGATGACTTGCTATAGCATTTTTTGTGTTTCTTTGAAAACATTTACATAAATAACCTCATCTTACACAAATCTTCTAAACAAATTCATGGTAACCCCCCCCCCCATTTTTCTTTCTTTTATTTTTATCCCTATACACTTTTTATTCCTTTTCTGTTTTTTTTTTTTGAATTTATGGATTCTCTCATTTTATTATGAAAGTTTTTTGTAAAATTTTCTACGCGGACAAATATTTTTGGCACTTTCTTCTTCTTCTTCCAGTATTTTAAATTCTTTTCCCTTTTTATGTACTCCACTTCTTAATCGTTCTCATTTAAAAGATCTTTTTTCTCATTCTATTTTTATTATACTTTCTTTTTATTTTCACTTTTCCCCCTTTTGCTTCTTGTTACTTTTATATGTTTCTTGTTCTTTCTTCTTGTCATCTTAGTTCCAGGATCAAATATTTTTAAGTATTTGTCCTTAATATAATTTTTATATTATAAATAATATCCAATAAAAAGATTTAGTGGGTCAAAGTTTTGAAAATGAAAAAGTTTTTTTAGGACGGAGGTAGTACAACTTTTCCCTAAATAAGAGTCAATTTTTAATTTTTCCTAAATAAGACTAAACAATAGTTTTCTACCCCTAATCTAATTAATTAATGGCCCCCATAGTTCCCTTAGATAATCAGGTCAGTCCATTGGTTACGTGCAGTCCAATGATGGCAAAAGAGGTTGTCCGTGATGGAACTCTGGCAATTAGCGGTGGCAGCGTCAGATATTAACAAACGCATTCTGAGATTTTATTGGTGGCGGCGATCGAAGGCGAAATAAAGGCGGCGGCGCCCGAAGACGAAATAACGACGGCGCCAGACGTAACAGCTACGGAAGATCATATCCGCAGATTTTTGGCGGATTCCTGTGGCTGGCGCCAACTCCGACAAGGGTATCCTTGTCCAAGTTTCAAACCTACTCGTATTTTTGTACTTCCTTCATGTTTTGTCTTAGTTGTGAAGTTAATTTCATGCATCATCATATTTTTATAAGTAAATCAATTCATTAAATCCATCAATTACACGAAATTAGCTAATCAAAAAGGAGAAACAAATAGTAATCCGTAATAAAATTATAATTACAATAAATTAGAATAAATTGACAAACTTCACTTTTAAGATTCGTATAATTTCTAGTCACGTTATTATTAATTACGGAGTATAACCTAATAATAATAAAACTTTAATTTTAATTTTAGTCATGCATGCAAATTATGCAATAACTGTGTGGGCTTTAATTAGATTTGATCCTTATGTGGGCTTATAACATGGACTAACGTGCTCTCTAAGGAGCATGTGACACGCTCCTTAAAATTTCTCTATGAATGGGTACTTGTGCAGTGGCACCCGTTGAACCTCGTGTGGGCCGGGCCTAAGATTTTTTTTAGAACAGCCTATAAGGCTAATCGCAATCCAGCTCCTTCAATAAATCAAATTTCCCACCACTTATACATATTCACTTAGTCAATTCAATTTTCACGACAATCCAGCACCGTCAATATATTCAACTATCAAATATATTCTTCATTAAAACCTTGCTTTTATATCATTTTTTTTCTCAATATTTTTTTGCGAATAATTATTGATTTTTGAAGTCCACCATTTCAATGTAAAAATAATTTTGGATTTTATTTATTTTTGTTAGTTTATACCTGTTTTTGAAAAAAATTTGAAAGGTGTAAAAAATTATTTTAACCATGAGGTCTTATTTTTAGCATTTCGATGTACTTAACCAAAATTTTGAACATAAATATCTCCAACTAATGAAAAATACATTTTTGGTATTTTTGCAACATTTTGGTATTTTTTTTTATGATGCACCTCAAAGTTTTTTTTATTAATTATAAACCTATTACAAACCATTTTTTTTGTTGAAACTGTTAATCTCACTAGTGCTTTTTTTGAATTTTCGATGCCCCTTACCTTCATTATTTTGGGGTTTCATGAGAGAAAAGATTTTAAAATAGGAAAAACTATCAAATCAATTTTCTAATCTACCCGGTTGCTTCTTGATTAGCCGGTAACATTGCTCATATGGCAGTCCAATTGGCATATTTTTTATATTAATCCCCCCCTCCCCGTTTTCTTCTTCACGATCACAACTCCGTGGCCTTTTTGCTTCTTCATCTGCTTCACCCCACCCCTCCATTACTACCCCTTCTTTATTGGCCTTCTTCAGCCAAGCCCACTCCTGTTTAGGGATGGCAATGGGGCGGGTTTGGGGAGTACACTCCCCCATCCTCCGCCCCATATCTAAAAAGTTCCCCCATCCCCCGTTACTTCTAGACCCGCCCCATCCCGTTTTCCCCCACGGGTGCCCGCGGGTGCCCCCATATAGATTATGTATTCGCATATACTTTAATCCATTATAAATATATGTGGTGCGGCTCCAACGAGAACGATGCTTAACGTGGAAACGTGAGAACACTGACATTTAATCCAATGTGATACACAATAGAGCTTTCTAGTGCACATTTGGACTTTGCTAAATACAAGGATTACAAGCTAATATAAATAATCACGGTGACACTTTTGTAAATATTATGCTTGATACGAAAAAGTGCATTGTGCGAGCCCATTGTGCATCACATTGGGGGTAAATGTGATGTTTGCACATTTTCATGTTAAACATTGTTCCCATTTGATCCTATATATATATATATATATATATATATATATATATATATATATATATATATATATATATATATATATATACTAGCGATCCTTCGCGCAAGGCGCGATAGCTTTTGCCCAATTTTAGCGGGCAATAATCCAACCTTTTAGCGGTCTTCTTTCAATAATCCCACCTTTTGATTATTCATGAATAATCCAACCTTTGCACCTCATCTTCATTCATTGGTCCCTGGTCGGTTAATGACCTACTATTCCAAGTTATTTTCTTATCTTTCCAAAATATTATCTTTGTGAAAGATGAGATTTATGGTATAATGATTTGCAAAGATAAGAAAATAGCTTGGAATAACAGGTCATCAACCGATCAGGGACCAATGAATGAAGATGAGGTGCAAAGGTTGGATTATTCATGAATAATCAAAAGGTGAGATTATTGAAAGAAGACCGCTAAAAGGTTGGATTATTAGTTTCCATTTTCCCATTTTAAAATGATGTTCTTTTTTATAAATAGCTATTTTATATATATATATATATATAGGGAGGATATCACATACAAACAACGCTTCCCATACAAAATGCAAAGCAATCTCGTGCATCCAATTTAGACAAATCAAGGGCTGAAAACATGTTACACACCGTAACATGCCGTGCGCTGCGTAGGAGGGTAATGGGACAAAACATCAACCGTTTAGTAAGTAAGGGTGGAAAAGTAATTTGACAAATGTTAAATGGGAACCGCCA